GAGAGTTGATGTGGGTCTCGTGTCCTTAGTGGTGCCAGTGGGAGCTGGAGATGGCGACGCACCGCCTGCTGGAGAGTTATTGTAGGTCTTGTGTGCATAGTGTTGCCAGTGGGAGCTGGAGATGGCGACGCACCGCCTGCTGGAGAGTTGATGAGGGTCTTGTGTGCTTAGTGTTGTCAGTGGGAGCTGGAGACGGCGACGCATCGCCTGCTGGAGAGTTGATGAGGGTCTTGTGTGCAGAGTGGTGCCGGTGGGAGCTGGAGATGGCGACGCACCCTCCTCTGGAGAGTTGTGATCGTAGTTGATTTGTGTCTTGTGTGGCCAGTGATGAGAATGGATGCTGTAGTTAGCGACGCACCGCCTGCTGGAGAGTTGATGTAGATCTTGTGTGCTTAGTGGTGCCAGTGGGAGCTGAAGATGGCGACGCACCGCCTGCTGGAGAGTTGACGTAGGTCTTGTGTGCTTAGTGGTGCCAGTGGGAGCCTTAGATGGGAACGCACCGTCTGCTGGAGAGTTGATGTGGGTCTCGTGTCCTTAGTGGTGCCAATGGGAGCTGGAGATGGCGACGCACCGCCTGCTGGAGAAATGATGTAGATCTTGTGTGCTTAGTGTTGTCAGTGAGAGCTGGAGACGGCGACGCACCGCCTGCTGGGGAGTTGATGCAAGTATTGTGTGCCAGTGGGAGCTGGAGATGGCGACGCACCCTCCTCTGGAGAGTTGTGATCGTAGTTGATTTGTGTCTTGTGTGGCCAGTGATGAGAATGGATGCTGTAGTTAGCGACGCACCGCCTCCTGGAGAGTTGATGTAGATCTTGTGTGCTTAGTGGTGCCAGTGGGAGCTGGAGATGGCGACGCACCGCCTGCTGGAGGGCGCCGGGCGGGACTTCCTGGTGCTGGTGGAGCTGCAGCCGCTGGACGCGAAGGCCCTGCCGCGCCTGCTGCGCTTGCTGGTGGAGACGCGCACCTTCCTGCAGTGGCCGTCGGGGTGCGCCCCTGGCGGTGGCTGCGGGGGCGGCGCGGAGGAGGCGGAGGAGGCGGCGTGGAGGCGGCTGCGGACGGCGTTGGGGCCTCCCATTAAGCGCTCCTCCCGCCACGGCCTTTCCTCACATGCCTCCGCCCTCGCGCACTCCCTACAGGCCCTTGATTCTCCCCCGCCAGCCCCTGCCAGTCCGCACCCCCCGGAAACCACCGTCGCCGTGCGCTCTGTGGCACTTGTGAAAGATAAGGACTCATTTCTTCCCGAAGAGGATATTCAACTCTCGACATTGACGTAGTGTGAAAATTTGCGAAAATTTTAAAACTTTTTCCAAACGCGGCTAATCGTTAAAGACTGTAAGGACTCTTATAGAAATCGCACCGCAAAAGAAATTTAAAAAAATATATTTATAAATGTATTTATTCATAAATAAATGATTTCTGAGTTATACTATGTAACCATCACATTGAAAGTTTTCTTTCTCAGTTCGATGACGCCTGTCCATAGAGCATTTGAATCTGTTGACCGGGAAGAGAAAAGCGTTAGGCTTCCAATTCATTGCGTCACAAGGCCTGCGTAAAACGAAGAGGCATGACATCATGTATTCACTACACAGGGTTACCGGCGGACAAAGGCTGCGGCCAGGCAGCCTTCAAGGGAGGAGCTTAGGGTAGAGTCTGAAGAAGATCGTACTTACCAGATTTCATTACTACGCAGCTCAGCATATAGCATTGACCATCAACTAGTTTTCTCAATATGCGTCAGGTGCGCAATTCTCTTGTGCCTATAACGGAAGAGATTCACATTGCATATATTCTGACCACCCCAGCTAAGCACCCAAACAAAAATTATGCAAAAACTACTCGTGTTTTCAAAAAATGTGACATGCCATTTTTTAACCAGTTTCCACAAATTCCAGAACATTGTCCATAATATAATCCAGGTCGATTAATTATAAAGTTAATTTCATTTAATTGACCTAGTGTTGCATCGGTGTTTACGCCAAGGGCGGAGATTGTTTAAGAGTGAATAAGATCAGTGGCTCTTACTAATGTATGGATTTGAGTAAAATAGGTAAAATATAATATTTATAGGTAAAATAGTTAGATAATCAACATCTAGGAGACAGAAAGATCTTATATTATCCAAGGCAGATATGTAGGAATAAAATTCGATGATGTTTTTAAAATGTATGTATTCATATAATTAATATCATTGATGTCCAATTGCTTTCATTGTGATTAAGGGGTTCATGAATTCATCTAATAGGTATAATAATTGTAATGATGGTAATGCAATAAAAAGGAGTGTAATTGTGGGTAAAATAGTTCAAATAATTTCAATGGTATGTCCTTCTAGAAGAAATTGATAGATATAGGGATTAAATTTTTTTTTTTTAATAAAAAAGTTATAATATATGCTATAAGAATTGTGATTATCAATAGAATTATTAGTCTGTGATCATGAAAGAAAATGAGATGTTCTATTAGAGGGGATGAACTATTTTGTAAATTTAAATTAGGTCATGTAGCCATATTCTTAAAAATGATTCTTTATTAATGTAGCTTAAATTCATCGCACTGTTCTGCCATATTAGTAATTAGATAAAATAGGAAGTTCTGAATAAGCATGTTGTGCAGAGGGAAGGTTTTGATTTCATTCTAAAGATCTATTTAAATTTATGGAAAATATAAGTTTTTGAAATGAAATTATTCTTTCTCATAAGATGAAAATTAGTATATTATTATATAATAATATATTATTATTAACTTGATTGGCCACATTGGACCACTTGAGACTTGAGTCGTTCCAGCTTCACTTTTGTGTTCATGGTGCGACTGTCAGCAAAGGTTTCACCTTGAGATGCAGGATAAATCCTCGAGTTAACAATTCTGAATGTTATTCCAGAAGGTGATAATCCGAAGAGATGGAGGATGATGGATGAAATAGGAGGTTCGCAGACCGAACACAATACAGACTATGCCCCGGAGCCGGGACTCGAACCCCGCGCATCTCTCGGTACGAGATCGACCATACATGCATCTGACTGCCTTAGGGCGATCTCGGCCACCATTCGGCTTTGAAAATTAGTATATATAATCCACTAAGACAATAGTTGAAGCATGAAGTGAAAGATTATTTCATGAGGAGGAAGATTTGGGATAATCAGAGTATCTGTCAAGGTCATTTCCAGCCAAACCCAAGACAGTGTTGAGAGAAGAAATGTTAAGATTAAGCTTTCAATAATACATTACTGTATTATATCTTTAGAATTGAGGATTTATTGTTAAATCCTGTAAAATAAAGGAAGAATCAGAAGAAATACACCCGACATAATAGCAAATGAGAGCTCGTCGCCATCAGACTCGTCATAGCCGTGGATCGGGATGCCGCCTCTGAAACTGCCGTATAGGATAGGCATTTGGGCTTTAAGAATATTATTATGATCTAGAAGCACGTGTGAGACGTGAAGTCTGGTAGCCCGATCGATCGGACTCAAGTTGAAAGTTGAAGCTATATCCGCTGTTCACAAACGTAAACTGGGACTTGTCTGCTGGATAACAGGCACGATCACATGGTAGTGCCGGATTCTCAAGAGTGGGCAGGGGAGGGTTGTCGTAGTCTCTGTGGTGAGCTGTGTGGTGGCCGGCTGAATTCGACGCCAACTAATGTAGCCTGTTCGAAAAATTCCCGCAACAACGGACTTCAACCCTACGAACTTCCGGGTCATAAGTACTGCAACATGAATAATCTGCTCTGAGATCACTTTTATTGGAACAGGCCGCTAACACATGGACAGCGGCGGAAGGGCATTCATTCAAAGTACGCTTCACAGTCCTGCGCGGCGGAGGTCGGTGACAACTATAAGGCGAGAGTAACGATTCAGATAGACTGATTCGGTTGGTTGAGTGATTCCGGGATGTTGACTAGAGGCGTCATTAGTCGTAAGTGTACGTGCATGTTTGCTCGGGAGGTACGGCGGCCTTCCTCGCTATATGGCGAGATCCGTCGATTTACCGCAAACAGATACCTCCACCAGCGGGACCCCGCGCCAGCCGGGCAAGTTACTAGCTCCCGGCAGATCTTCCGGCAATGTTGTTGCTTGTGAAGTGTGTGTATATGTAAAGAGAGGAGATAGGACAAGGAAGAGGTAGGCAACAAGATCGCGGCGGCGTGCCGCGGCTTGCCGTTTGGATACTTGCTCCCGCAATTCGCCTGGTTTTTCTCCAGAGAATCTACAAAAAACTATCGATCAGCGCAGCTGCTAGAATTCTCCTCCAGACAGGACTGAATTCAACTACCTGGCAAACTAAATCGAAAACCTCCACCCGTTGGAACCTCAAAATCTAGGACCCTCCGGTCAGAGGGACTGCAGTGACATCGGGGTTATTGCGTCTGAACCCATGCTCTCCTGGTCCTCAGAATAGAAAATAGACGGCGTCACAGCACAGAAGTCGAATATACGTGTGACTGTCTCTCCCATAGTCACAAACACAAATTGAAATTACTTAAACTTAAGCTGCTAGTTTTCTGGCAGAGAAAACAGAAACTTTCTGGTTCCGTAAACCGTTGAACACACTACTGCAACGATACTATATTCTTTATTTCAGCTTGTAACTGAATCCTTTCACTTTAATTATACTTCTTATGTTCAGAAATATTTACAATCACCAAATATAAATGAACATGACGGTTGTATAGTTTTGATAAGAACCCCCATACAGTTGTCTGTTTCCCAAAATAGAAAATTGTACTATAATTTCATATTTTGCCAATTTATTTTTAATCTTAACCGATGAAACCAAGCAAAGGCTAACACTTTCTATGAATGTAAAATGTATTACATTCGTAATTCGGAGTTGGATATATCGATTTTAGCAATGTTCCTAGCTCTGGAAGCATGACGTATCACATCGCCATACCTAGTTTATTTGGTCTGCTGAGCTTTTTCTTTCGTCACACAGCTAATAGAAACTGAGACGATTTTTATTCGAAAAAAGCTCAGCTTCATTTTTGGCCGCCGGCCGGGAATTGAGCCCGGACCGACTCAAGAAAGCTAAGCACGCTATCCATAGCCACCAGGAGGGCCTCACGTCAAATCATAGTCAAAAATATTTGCGTATCTGCACAACATGCTGTTCTCGTTATTGGTAATTAAAATCCGCTTGCTTCTCACCCATTGTATTCACACACCACGCAAGTTCTATATATTGATTCAACTGAAGAGTTCTGAGTAAGTTTTTGAGATGCATCTGTTGAGAGATTCAATTTTAATCATACCAACTTATAATTATTTATATTATTACCAACATTCCGAACAAATGCAAATTCCTAGCAACGTACATTTTCGAATACCTCAGCAATTCAATACAGGTCGACAAAATGAGCCGATCAGTTTGTTTGAATCACGATTAGCGCAGTTTAGCTTGCGATTAGGGCTGATTACTTGAAGAGGCAGCAAAACGGGCAGTCGCAGTTACATCAAAACGTAAAGCTGACGAAAAGCAAAAGTCGCAAACCTAAAGCATGCCCGCTTTCTCACAAGTCGTAAGTATTTGCCCCGAGGCTGCAATTGCTTCGGCAGAGGATGCGATGTCATGGGCAGGGGCAATGGCTTCGGGAAACAATGAACGCTTTCAGCCATCGGCCCCATGAGCAAAGCGAATTATATTGTTTCGCTTTACGGCCTTCGTATGGGATAATGTGTTGAAAACAACGGCAAGAGAATAGGGCAAAAATAGAATTAGAAAGCAATGGGAGTAGTTATTCTGATTTCAACACCTTGAATAGCTGGAATTGGACTTCTTCATCTTTGCATTGAACTTCATCACATCATAATACGAAAATTGCAAAGTGAAGTCCGAATATTGCAGGCTGACTTTCATCTAAAATAGTATCAAAAAGTGATTGGTACTTCCAGACATTTGACCAACCTTTTGCTTAATGGCAAAATTATTATTTTAATTTAGGCTTGCAATTTGTAAAAAAAAAATATGAAGAGTTTTTATTTTTTAAGGTATGCGAATGGCTATGCTAAAATTGAATGATAAAACGACGTTTTTTTGTGGTGGAGATGATCAGGAACGCAATTATTAAATTTATTTTTATCAGAAGATTTTACTTTATTTCGCCTTTTTACTGTCATGCATGGCATGCCCTTTTTATCCTTGAAACAACTATTACAATATTAAATGTGTATGTTTTTAACACGTGCATCTAATATTACAAAATTTTTTATAACTTTAATTAATGATACATTGAATATGCACACATGATTGAGCCCAACTCCGCCTTCCTCTCGCTGGGAACCGTAACGAGAGAGTCCCGAGGCATGAGCCAAACCGGTTCTGAAGGCATTCGATCGTCACTTCTTTTCCCTGCCACAGCACAAGCATCCCTCTACCCTAGTAACGCCCTCTTAATGCTCAGAGCACAGCTGCGAGCTACAAGTGAGCTCTCGCCTCTAACTGGAACCAGTAGCAGGGCAGGCCTGATCTAAAGTATTCGTAAAAATATAGGTTCATCGTTTTATGAGAGGACACCTGGGTGAAGATACAGAAATTTCACGGCAAGTGCGACGATAGGTCGGCACCGAAATCACCACACAGCGAGTGAGGAACAAACCGCCACCTCCCCTTCGATGAATATGTCCCCTACAGCTTCCGAAAATATGACATGATCAGTGTGAGCGTTGCCCAGGAGCGTCATCAATAAATTAAACAGAAAATTAAATATGTTTTTTCTGTTCTTTCTTCTTGAGTAGGCAAATTACAAAGCAAGATCACACCGTCCACAAGACGCCGTAAGACGGGTTTAATTTGAATAAGCAAAAAAGTAGAATTTTGATATCCAAAACGTCAAGATTTGCAAGTGAAAATTCAATGTACACGACCCCATGCCATTTACACTTAGTGTAGATGACGTTGGCAAGCATTTAATTAATTATTACTAATTGTAGAAGGCCAAATAATTTGTGGGAACTAGCGAATGGATGTCAAAAATAGAAAACATCATGGAGGTTTTGGATAACAAGTTAATTATTTCTATATTGATTAATGCAGACATCCGGTTTATCTCTTGTCGATTTGAAGCATTTTACGGGGCAACGGTTTAATTAAATACTGCTCAAGATTAGTAACTGGAAACGTGTCCATCAGCGAGTTTTGTTGGATGGGGTGGCTTACGGCTTCGTATCACGGAGAGACTTTCCCAAAACTTTTCAATACGCATGTTACTTTTCAGACACATTTATGATTCTTGTAAATAACTTTTTATTGATGGACTTTTTTATTTTTGTAAACCGTCATTTTGGAAGTTCGTTTTCATTCTGAAAAATTCAACAGGCCTAAGTCAAAGTTATGTCCTTCTCGGAACAGGAAACCTTTAACTAATTTTTAAGGAATTTATTTGTTACATTTCCCCCTGAACGCTGGAATTTTTAATTATCACTGAAGCTAGAGTAGTTAGGGGCAACAGGAATAATTAACTAACGCGGTCAACACGTTATTTCTAAAATACTAAAACCTCATTTATCTTCTCTTGTCATAAATATTTCTCCGTACAGAACGCACTGTTTAATCATTACATCCGAAGCTAAAGAACTGCGCACTGTGATCAAAGAGGAGAGAACTGCAATTGATTTCTGCGTGTCTCACGTAGT